CCCTCTCACCCGCCGCCCGGGCCGGGCCCCTCGGGAAGAATTTCCGGCCTGGGATTGATTAGAGCCCGCCCCTCCCCCCGCCGCGGGACCCCCGGCGCTCGGGGCGGACGGGAGGGGGATGGGCGGTAATGAGACCCGGCTGTGCGCGGGGGCGGAGAGGGGGACGCGAGGCAGTAGCGGGGCGGAGCGGGTCCCGGAGCCACAGGGCCCCGCCGGGCCTCGAACCCGGCTCCGGCCCGCTGGCTCAGCCGTGGAGGCCGGGCGTGCATCGGCGCCCCCGGGAACCAGGCATCCTCGGAGGTGGGGCAGCGGTGAGGGCAGCGGTGGCCCAGAGGAGGCCACAGTGAGTGGGCTGCATCCTCCGGGCCGCGAGCGAGGCGCGGGTCTCCTTCTGCTCCGCCCTCCACCCGCTTATCGGACTGGAGGCCGCTGAGGCCCTAACTCGGGAGAGAACCCCACGCTTTGCGCCCCGCTAGCGTCCAGGCTGCTCCCCGAGCTCCGCTGAAGCTGGACGCCCCCGCCTGCCTCGCTCCGCCCCCATCGCCTTTGCTCCGGACGCCCCCTGCCCCCGTCGACCCTCCACTTCATCCAGCCCCACACACTGACCCCTCAGCGTCTTCCACCTCTGCCCTCACAGCTGTCCCTCCCGCACCTGGGCTCGCACAGTGCCCCACCCAGCACCTGTCCCCCTCCTGGCTCGCTGCTCTTCCTGGGGACACCAGTTCTGGGGGCAGTTCTCGACAGTCCGCAAGTCCTTGCTAACCCCACGTCCCAGTGGCATTTACCACTCGCTCCCGCTGCCCGCCCTTGAGGGCCCCTCCCCTCCAGCTTGGCTCTCGTTCCTCCCTGGCTCTTCTGCCCTGTGGTCTGGGGGCTCCACCAGACACCTCCCTGGGCGCGCTGACCACCCCGTTCTTGCTGCTCTCCTGTCTCTCCTCTCAGTGAAGGGCCACGCTGTCCACCCACGCACAGGGCGGAAGGGTCACCTTAGGCTCCTTCCCTCTCCCCCTTCCATCCAATCCATCAAGTCTTGAGGACTTTGCCCTTTTTATCTCGA